CATTTAATTAGCTAAAGGCTACCTTTATAAGTGCTCCTGTGCTCCGCCACTTTGACCCAGAGCTACCCATTATAGTAGAGGCTGACGCCTCTAACTACGTAATGGCTGGAGTACTATCCTAGAAAGATAAGGATGGAGAGCTGCAACTAGTTACCTACTACTCTAGGAGAATGAACCCTGCTGAAGGCAACTACGAGATATATAATAAGGAGCTACTAGCGATTATACGCTATTTTAAATAATGGAGGCCTAAACTAGAAGGCGCTGCCTTTCCCATTAAGGTGCTTAGCAATTATAAGAACCTATAGTACTTTGCAACGACTAAATAGCTAAGCCATAGACAAGCTCGCTAGTTAGAGTACTTATTACGATTTCAATTCACAATCACCTATCGCCCTAGTAAGTAAGGCGAGAAGCCAGACGCACTCATGAGACGATCACAGGACGTTTTAGTATAGGAAGGAGTATGGGCAGCTCGTAATTAGACGCTATTGCGCCCTAAGCTATTTAAGCCTACCATAGATCTATGGCTATTAATCACGGACAGGACGATCGCACAGATCATAGATGATAAATACCTAAACGACGAGCTAATTACTAAGATGCTACAGCTCCTACGAAGTGGAGCCCGCAAGTTAAAGAGAGTGACACTTAGTAAATATAAGATTAGAAATGATTGCGTATACTATCGCGATCGTATAATAATACCTAATTATAATAAACTTAAGATTAAGCTTCTATGCCACGTCTATGACTCACCTATGGGCGGCCACCTAGGCAGAGGTAAGACGCTAGAGATCCTATAGCGGGAATACTATTGGCCCAAGATGTTTGAGATGGTTAAGTGATATGTGGCCTACTACCATACCTGCCATAAGGCAAAGTCGTCTAGAGATAAGTACTATGGTCTATTAAAGCCTCTACCTATTATAGAACAACGTTGGTAACACATCTCTATAGACTTTATAATAGACCTACTAAAGTCTAAGGGATACACGAACATTATGGTAGTAGTTAACTAGTTAAGTAAGTATAGATACCTAATTCCTTATAAGGAGATTACTACACTAGAGACAGTACAGCTTTTCCTATAATACGTGTGGGCCAACTAAGGACTACCCACTATAATAGTCTCTAATAGAGGTAGCCAGTTTATCTCAGCATTCTAGACAGAGCTCTATAGCCAATTAAAGATTATAGCACTATTATCCTTAGCATATCACCTAGAGACTAATGGACAAATAGAAAATGTAAATATAGTAATAGAGTAGGTACTACGTATATATATAAGCTATACGTAGAATGATTGGGTGGATTGGCTACCTATGGCATAGTTTGAAGCCAATAATATAGTGTTAGAGTCCATATAGGCGTCGCCCTTCCTAATCTACTACGGCCAGAATCCCTGCATGGGGTTTGAGCCGCCTACTATAGTGTCTAGGCCCTATAGATAGAGACTCGACGCAGCTACTACTAATCGTATAGTAGATAAGATGAAAGATATAGTAGATCTTATTCGCAAGGAACTAACCTAGACGTAAGCCTTATACTAGGAGTATATAAATTGTACACGACAACTAGCACCTACCTATTAGATAGGTGATTATGTCTGGCTAGACGTATAAAACCTAAGGACACAATAATGCTCTAAGAAGCTTAACTAGAAGAATATAGGCCTATATAAGATTAGCGCGGTAGTCTCCTTACATGCCTATAAACTAGAGCTACCTAAATTAATGAGGATATACCCTATATTCCATGTAAATCTACTCCGGCCAGTGGAGCCAGACAACGCCTATTTACTAGGATAGTAGGTAGAGCCACCTAAACCAGTAATAGTTAATGCAGAACTAGAGTATTATGTTAAGAGGATAGTTGACCTCCATTTTAATCAACGCCGGAAACGACACAAATACTGGGTTAAGTAGACTAGATATAATAACCTAACCTAGGAGCTAGTAATCGACTTTGCTGACACCGCCGCTACAGAGGAGTACTATTAGAAGTACCCTAATAGAGAGGACCCAAATAGGTAGATTAGATAGCCGTCCAAAATGATATTAAACTAGACACCTATATAGATCCTCGCAAGCTTGGACTGTAAGAGAGGGAGGGACCTAATGTTACGGTAACCTTAGAGGCTACCTGACAAGCATGGATATACTGCTGGCAGTAGTATATCTTAGAGAT